CTCGGCGTCCTTCTCCCCCACTGGAGCACCCTCTTCCTCCCTTCCTCCCTCCCTCCCTCCCTCCCTCCCTCCGTGCCCTGTCAAGCCCTCCTGATCGCTACGCAAGACGTGCGTCTCGGCGTTCGCGCCCAGGCGATATGGGCCCTCTCCAATTTCAGTCAGTCTTTGAGCAGGGAGGGGGCTGGGGATCGCGTCCGGGTCGACGTGGGGGCCATCTGTGCGGCCGCTCTGGAGCTTCTGAAGCAGCAACCAGGGCAGGAAAAGACGGCGAATAGTGCCCTGAGAGCCCTGGGGTAAGAAGGAAAGGGGAAAGGTGGAAGGGAGGGAAGCTTTTCTAGCGGACTTGAATGCTGCATCGCTCATGTTCCACTTGTCAACAAGTGGGTTCTCGATACATTTTCTGTGCTCACCGCTCCTTCATGTCTTGTGTCTCAACGGATATTTTTTCTTCCTATTGCTCTGCCTTTCTTGTCTTACACGCTGTCCGCCCTGGTGTGGGACCAGTCATCTTCTGGGTCGTCTGGGCTTTGAAGAGGGTGGGAACCACGAAAAGGATCCCAGAGACGATGGACAGGGAGGTTACAACGGCGGGAATGGTCGAAGGAGGACGGAGGAAGAATTCCGCTTGCGTCGAGACTGTCTCGAAGTCATGCTCGAGTCCTTGAGGGATCCACAAAGGGAGGAAAGGAGGGAGGGAGGGGGAGAGGGGGGCGAAAAAAACAAAGGGGAAAGGGAGGCAGGATCGCGTGTAAAATTAAAGTGGAATGCGTGCTGTGCCCTGACGTCTTTCCTCGAAGCCAGGGCATTGCAAAGCGCCGACCAGGTGGAGAAGGAGGAGGGTGAAAAGAGAGCGGTAGAGGGAGGACGGGAGGGGTGGTTGGAAGACCGGAAGCGAGACCATGACGAGAGAGGGCCGGTTGTCGTGGCACTCCTGCATGCGCTGTTGACGGACAAGAATGCCAAGGTAAAGCGAGGAGACGACCGGGGGGAAGGGGGAGACGCGTGGTGGAGGCAGGGGTGGGAGCCGGAGGGACAATGACTGCGAGCAAGAGGGGTTTGATCACATAGGGAGAGCTCTGTGGTACCCCCTTAGGAGGGGGGCGCAAAGGAGTAAGGCTCTTAGGTGGACGGTCCTTGTGGGAGATTGTAGGCGGGGTTTCTCGTCCGTGGGACGGTGTCTGTTGTCCGCTTAATGCCGTCGTTTTCCGCTCACATTTTTCTCTTTTTCTGGCCTTTTCTGACCCCTTCGCCCCTTGGCCGCCAAGGTACGCGCTCATGCCGCTTTGGGCCTCCGTGCGGTCGGAAATTTTCGGTCCTCTTACTCCTATCATTCTGAAGGGGGATTCTCCGCTATCCTGGATGCTGTCCTGGATGCCCGCGCCCACTTTGCCCTGTCCCCTCCTCAGACCTCACACTCCCTCGATCGTCTTTTGCGGCACCTGGTGTGGGTAGCTGTGGTCCGAGAGGGAGATGGCGGGCGGCGAGCAGAGGAGGAACTGAATGCCGACACGGCACGGCGGGTGCTAGCCTGGCTGCGGAGTTATGCAGCACATGGTGAAGGAGCGAAAAACCAGCAAAGGCCCGGGCAAGCGTGTCGAGAATTGGCGCAGGCGTGGTGGGAAGAGGGCAAGGCGAGAAGATGGGATGTAGATATATTGGACGGGTTGCGCTGGTTTATCAGGGAAGAGAGTATGGGTGGGAGACAAACGAGGGTAGGAGCAAAAATGACAGAAGGAGGAAGGGAAGGACATCGTATGGCAGAGGAGGACGAGGAAGAAATTTAGGTGTGTATACACGGTCTAAATGGATGAAAAGCAATCGTTACAATAAGGCGAAAGCCCGTATAGGAGAAACGCATGCAACCTACGGAAGGCCGTAACACCATTCTTTCTTGCAAGAAGTATGCAGCGTCGAACATTAACCCCAACAACAGAAATTCGACGAATCTGCCCACCGCCGATACTCGAAATCTACCAACAATATGAATGAGACCTGGGTCCGTGGGACTTCACAAACAGTGTCCTCCTGACGCTCGACCCGAAAAAGGGAACGTATAGTCATATACAAATATTCTTTATAGTACCCTCCAAGAGTGGTATCGGCTCTCTGGCCTTCAAGTTGTTCCTCGACACAAGTCTCGCGCCTCCGGGAGAAGGAGATTCGATCACATAGGCGACCGCGTTCCGTGACCATTATGAGGGGTATCAGACTCTAATGTGTTCACATTTTATGTGCTGTTTGTATGAAAGGTGACATGCTTTCACTACATGGCAGAAAGGGCTGACCGCCTGGGGTGAGGGCCTAGCGACAAGAACACACCACTTCAACATCTGCCTTACTTCACTTCCTTCGCTCGATATTCAGGGAGAAAAATAGAGCATATTATCATCGAGCGTGTGCTACAGAGTCTCCTTCCGAGGCACAGGTTGCACAGCTCGACTCGATGTTGCTCGTGAATTTCCATTCACCGCGTGGTCATGGACGTCTATGCTTGTTGAAAGAGGTGTCAAGTCGAACATCCCATTCAATGCCTTGCATTTCATCTTGCCTTCCGATCGTGACCTTTCCGCTCATTGTGATCTACTCTGCTCGTATTATTTTCTCTGTAGTACAATGAAGTCTTATTTGGGCCTTTGCCTAATCGGTGGAGTGGTGACCGCGGCCGCTTCCTCCGACTCCGCATCCTATACTTCTCGCAGCAGCAAGCGCGGCCTCCATCTAAAATGCAGGGCTGTCAAAGATAAAACGCCCGCCCTTCATCGTGCAAGTATTATACCTGCATCTCACTCATCCTGTACACCCAAGGGCGAGTGTCTGGTATTTCCAAGCACCACCAAAGGCACGACGCTCATGCATCGGGTGCGAGGCGGGGGGCCTGGAATTTTCCGACGAGAAGACTACTTTGAAGAGACTGCCGTGGATCGAGGGCGCTGCTTGGCCCGGATGTATACCCTGACGACACTCCTGTACGCTGTCGTTGCGGGTGTGCTCTCCGTGCCTCTTCCCAAGTATATGCCTGCTGTCCTTGCTCCTTTTCTTCTTGACAGTGGGGATCCTGTGTTGGCGAGATCTTTCGGCGTCGGCGCCGTGGCTGTCCTCCTCCTGTCCGTGGTCCTTGTCAAGAGCCGCGCAGCCCGCGTCAGCTTCCCCATGAACGCTACTCTCCTCCTCAGCGCCACCGGCCTGAAAGCCCTTCTGCTCGCTGTCCTCTCCTACCGTTTCTTCCCTCCCTCTTCCACGTCCCCGTACGCCTCTTTCCCTCGTCTCTTCGCGTTCCAGACCACTGTGACTCAGTTTGTTCAAGCCCTCTTCGCCGCCTACTTGCCTGCGAAGGCCGAGTCCCTCTTCCCCTACCTCCTCACCACCGTCCTAACCCTCCTCCCCGCCCGACCCCTCTCCCTCCTCCTCTCCCTTCCCCTCCCCTCCGTGATGGTAGCGGCTGCCTTATCCTTCCTCGCCTCTGTGGTAATCCTGCTTGCGAGCCAGTCCTCTGTCCAAGGCGGGGCACACCGCAACGGGTGGGAGGCAGTGGCGGAGATGGTCACGACAGTCCTGGGTGGGGTGGGCCAAGGCTGAGGCCGAAGAGAGAGAAAGTGGGAAGCTTGTAGACAAGAGGAGGAGGATGCGTAGACGAGGAAAGGGGAGCATGCAGAAGCAGAAGAGAGGGCAGCACAGGAAGCTGTAACTGTCCTAAAATTAGGCCAGAGGAAGGCGACAGGCAAAGACTGTGTCGAAAAGGTGAAGTAAGAGTGTTGGGTGCCAAGAGGGTGAGGGGAAAAGAAACCAAGACCAGAACAGAATTTAGCGCGGGGGAATGCACGCGAAAGGGGTGTGACGATGACGTGCTGGACAGTTTTCCGAGCAAGGAAAGGGGAGGAGTCCTAGGGCCACGCCCGGGGTAGGAAAGACCGAGGGAGGGAGTGCGGGTTTGGCAGAGACGAGGATATGCTCAACGACTATGAGCGGGGAAGAAGAAAATGGTGCGCAGTGAGACCGAAAAAGCAAACTATTCGGGGGGTGGCGGTTCGATTCCTTGTGCACGCTCGTCACAGGGCACGTTTTCTTTCAGACTTCTTTGTTGCGAAGCACCCAGCCGTGTTCCAGGATGTACGCGGTGGTGCCCGGCACGCGTGCTTTTGCATGTGCGCAATGGACTTTGAAGGTCCCCTTTCCCCTCCCTCCCTACCTCCCTCCCTTCCTCCCGTCGCTCAGGGAATGGCGACCTGCAGAGAAGGACATTCACAGAGAGGAAGCCTGTTACCAAAGCCGTCCCCGGGCTGGAGCATGATCCTCACTGAGCCCCCCTCCCTTTCTCCCTCCCACGCAGGAATCCTCATGCAGAGGGGGAAGACCGACGTCAAGGCCCGGCCCAGCCACAAGGGCGACGGGGAGGACGGGGAGGGAGGGGGAGGGGGAGGGAGTGGTGGAGGGAGGAAGAAGAGGATGACCTCTGTGCTGTGCACCTCTCTCGGTCGCCGCCATTTCCACACCAGCTGTCCACTCAGAATGCGCTGCTTTCCTTCCCACCCTGCCCCCTTTAAGAGCAGAGATCCCGGCTCGACCAACCCTTCTTCCTCAGCTTCTGTTCTCCCTCCCATAAAGAGGGGTCGTCGAAGGCGGAGCAGGGAGGGGGAGAGCCGGAGGGAGGGCTCTTGCCCCTCTCCCTCCTCTGTGTCCGATGCAGGTGCATACCCCATGCTGATTTCCCCGAGATAAAGGCCATAGGGACGCGGGACGAGGGAGGCCGGGACGGAGGAAGGAAGAGGCTGCTTTAGGCAGCGGAGGCGGAGTTCGCGAGTCGTATCCCCGGCCACGGGCATATCCAGGACTCGAAAATGCCGACGGCGCCAAGGAAGGATCTTACAGGGGGGGCAGCTTTCCTCTCGGTGGAAGCTGGGCGGATTGAGGGAAGGGTCGCCAGAGGGAGAGAGGGAGGCCCGGATGGAGGAGGAGGGAGGACGCTGAGTGCGGCCATCGCCACGCTCACGAAGACTTTCGTCCACGTCCTTCAGCCCCCTCCCATCCCTCCCGTCCGCCACAGGGTAGTCAGCAATAGCTTCACAGTATCTTTTCCAGGCCTGGGAGCCTTCCTGTGCTCCTTTTTTTGCGGCTTCCTCGTCCTTCGTTTCACGTGACAAGCAGTCTCCTCCCTCCATTTGCCCGCCCTTCCAGTCCCCTGGCCCCTGCCGTCGCAAGACTAGGCGCCTGTCCTGCCTTCCTTTGTCCGCCACCGGCATCTTTCCCATCCCCTTCTCTCCTTCCACGTCTGCCCCATCTTTATGAAGCACAAGTTCCAGGACGAACTCGTCGTCCTCGTGCTCGCAGTGGTAAACAACGTTCACTTCGAACGGCGACGCAGACGTGGGCACCTCTGTTTTGAAGAGAGGGAAGGAAATTCCCTTTTCCCCGCCCTCTTCCCTGGCACCAGAGGACAGGATCCCACGAATGTGCAAAGAAGAGCCACCGTGAAACGCCGTCTGATAACAAATTTGGGCCCGAAGGTGGCAGGGAGGAGACACAAGAGGGAGAGGGGGAGGAAGGACGAGGCTGCCGTCTCGGACAGCAGCCGAGCGTTGTTGGTCGGCCGTGGGAGGAGACGGAGGGTTGGGAAAGGATGCACTGCGGACAGTGCAATCAGTCAATACCAGCGGCAATGGGTCCTGCATGTTCAAATTATACCAGGGCACCTCTTCCCGTCTTTTTCTTTCTTCCCCTCCCTCCTCTCCTTCTGCACAAATTGTCGCTACGGCCGTGATTGCCGGGCAGAGCGATATTTGACCGGCAGCCACCCAAACTTTCAAGCCGACACCCGTCCCAAAATTTGTCAAGAAGGTTCGTTCGCCAGTTTTTTGTCCTCCCTCTCCTCCTTCCTCCTTTCGTCCTCCCAGGCTACCGGCTGGAAGAGGCCGCCGGGGCCAGATCCTGGCAACTTTCGACCAGAATTCTTCTTGTACGGCTTCAAAAATGCCTTCAATGCGATAAAACTTCGCCACAGCTGACGACAGGTGAGATGACGCATGCGATTGAGGCGAGTGGGCTTTCAGAATAGGAGAGCTCAGAGAGTCTGTGACTTTTTCCTCAGGCGCCCCCTGCCCCCTCTCTGTCTCCCTTCTCCGCACCTCCTCTTCCCAGATCCAGCCTGGCGCGAACAGGGCGGCTGATACACCGGCTGCTCTTGCTGCCTCAAGGGCTTCGCTACAATTAAAACCTCCTCCACCGTAAGTGCCCCGCCCAAAGCAATCAACCCCCATCCATACATCCCACTGACGGCTTTTTCCCCCTCCTATCTTCTGCGACAAATCGGACTGCTCGCTCACACTGGCCGTGAATGAGCTCTGATCTACCATTTTGTGAGCCTGCTGCTCTCGTCGGGTTACTTTTGACGACCTCGCACTATCTTCCTTTTCCGGCCCCTCCTTGTTTTCCTCCTCCCCGTCTGGAAAAGCAGCGTCCGACAATTTACCGGACCTTCCAAGCCGCGGCCTTCCTCTCAAGCCTTCGCTCTGCGCTCGTCCCATCGTTGAGACACCCTCATACCCGGAAATCCCCAACTCGAGAGACCAAGGAGAGGCAGAGGTCTTGGCCAAGACCGCGCTAGCGGCAGGCCCCTCTCTTTTCCAGCAATAATTTGTGAAAATCCCATCGCACGCGTGGAAAAAAACTTTATTTCGCTCCGTCAGCCCGTCTTGCCATTCCAATTTTCCCGTGTCGCTAACCACTGAGTCGTACCAGAGCACCGTCGCACCAATTTGCTTGACTTTTTTCATGCCCCGTGTCAGGGCCCGCAAGAAGATAACCATGTTCTCGACAGCTGTTTCTGACTCAACCTCGTTCTCAATGTTGATCAGCCAACCGTCTAGACCATGGTAGCCAGCCAATGCCACAAGGCGTTGAGCAAGGGCGATCGCAACAACGGGCGAATGAAATAGTCGACGGCAAACCTCTTTCCCTTCCTCCCATTCAGTGAGAAAGGTTCCTAAGCAACGAACACCGTGGCGATGGCACAACGATATCCAGCTAGGGGGCGGCAGGGAGACAAGATGGTGGGAAAAGTAGACGAAAATGTCGGCGAATTCAATAGCATGCAAGCGAAATGCGGGGGCGAGGGAGCAAGGAGCTGTCGAGAAGGAAGGGGATTGGAGGAAGGGAGGAGAGGGGCCGGCCGTTAAAATCAGACAGAGGGGGCCCTCCGAGCATGGGATGAAAAAGACTGCGCTTTCAGACAAGTTCATCTCCTTTTCACTGTCCTTAACGACAGTTGTTTGAGCCGTTCTTCCACAAAACAGCCCTCTTGAAGTCACCAAAACTCCACGTCTTCCTTCTCGCAGCCCTTTTCAATTTGCTCTTACGCTTCTTCAATTTCTTGTTTCCCATCGCAATGCTTTGCATTGGTCGCCCACCCTCTTCCGTCCGCGATTTAATCTCTCATCTTTATTTCTTACCCCTTTTGTCGGCGCAGGAAAGACCAACAGACTGCGAAGCCTCACAAGCCCTGTACCCTTCGGCCGCCTCTTCTTTGTCACTGACGTCTTTCGCACTTCCATAAGTGCTATGTATATCCATTTCCACTCCATTACCATGATATACCCTTTCATTTCTCCACGTGCCTTCCCCCCATGGACAACTCAGTCCAAAACAATGTCTATCTCCTAGGTAGCCTCCCTGCAGATCGTGGCACATCAACAACTTGCTTCTCGATAGCTCGTAGACCCCGATTTGATTCCTTTCATGCTTTCTTTTCTGCACGGGTCGTGCCTCAGTGTCGTTTTTTAGAGACGGTGATGAGACGCTCTCAGCAAAGGTAGATGAGGCAGACAGGTGGAAGGGTATGGGGAATTTTTCCAAGGAAGGCAAGACAGTAAGCGGAAGAGGTGTAGTGTAGGAAGATGGCGGAAGGTAAATGTGGGGTGGATCCCATTTCCAAAGCTCGTCGATAGAAATTATAGGTCGAGTTTCGATAAAAGGAATATGTGGAAGTGAAATATCTGGCGGGATTGGCAGGTTTGCCGACGCAGGACAACATCGTACGTAAGGAGAGCCTTGATTGAGAAAATGATGGTCGGAAACCAGCTTTCTCCGCGAATCATGGTCTTCTACCTCGCATCCAGTATATTCCATTCTTTTACTTTGGACCGTAGCCCCTTATATTAAGTAGGTGCTTTGAGGTGGTTGGTACGTGGGCAAAATCGCCCAACGGTACACTGTCACGGAACTAAACTCTTCAGTTGTTTATAACGCCTGGTCACAATTGCAATAGCTATGCATCCATCCTGCCTGTCAGATATATTATGCATAATCATTAGCCTAACGACGATGCTAACATATAAAAAGCTCTTTCCGTTCACAAGCAGAATACAGTGAACACCCAAAATGTGGGCTAAACACCTCAATATAATACTCTAAAACGTTCTGCAACCGGGAACCGGCCAGTTTGCTCATCTTAACACTTTCGCACCCCACAAAATGTTTATCATTTGCCATACTGTAATCACAAAGCCTCCACGGCAGATATGGTCAGTGCGAGCAATGTCTCCGAGCCCGCATTGCATGTCGGCGCAACGGAACAACGTGCGAGCAACGTCCGAGCAACGTCCGAGCGGAGCAAAGTCCGAGGGAAGTCCGAGGGAAGTCCGAGGGAAGTCCGAGGGAAGTCCGAGGGAAGTCCGAGGGAAGTCCGAGGGAAGTCCGAGGGAAGTCCGAGGGAAGTCCGAGCCGAGGTCCAACCTATCTCCGAGGGATGTCCGATCTACGTCCGGCCCAAACCATAATTAGCCTTTACCCTGATAGTCGACCTGCGACATAGTTTATTCACTAAGAGTGGTCCTTATCTTCGTCTCTGCTTTTCCTATATTCTTTTGGAGAATCCCTCCTGAGAGCAGTAATGCCCTTTCCCTTCTTTGCACGCGCTCCGATGCTTTGATTCAAGAACAAGTAAGCACACGATTTCGATGAGTCCAATCTTTAAAATAAGTAATAAAGTCGATAATGAACGATGAATTGTCAAAGTATGCATTAGAGTCCTGACATTGATGGACTTGACCCATCCGTCTTTGTCTCTGCTGGCGCGTCTAGAGATGGACAAACAATTGTTACAGTAGATACTTGAGGTTCAAAAAGGAAGCTTTTCATTTACTTTTCGCATTCAATTTGATGTCAAAGCATTAATGGTATAAATTAGGTTTATTATTGAAAAATACCAAAAATAGCTCGATGGCCTTAGATACGACATGGCAAGGTAATTTGCTGAGAAGTAGGCTTCCAGCCTTCAGGATTTGAGTCGTCGAAAAATGTAGTATAAAATTATCACGTTCTCAAAGTTACACATATTATTCACTCAATATTGAAATTTTGTGTCTTAAAACAAGTCTTTCGCGTTACTCTTAAATGATTGAATATGAAAAGTTGCCGAGCATATCCCAAAATTTGAGCCCTAGTTTTGAAAAGTACAGAAATTTACCATTCATACCAATATAAATCAATATTAAAGTTTCTTTAGTTGTAATTCATCGGAGCCTAAAAATCAAATGATGATCCGCAGGGTTGAAACTATTGTTTTTGATCATCTTCCTCTAGCCAGTTGTCCGAGCAGATGGACTTCCCAGGTCTAAAATCCTGGAGCTGGCATACAATCACCTATAAACCTTTGAAGCCTAGAATTGTCAACAATCGTTGAAAATTCGTTGAGAATGTAGTAAGTGTTAATGTCCTGGTCTGTTATTTCAATTTTCGTAGACGTTTATACCATACCTGACCTCTCCAATAATACCTCAAAGACTTGTACCTCGAAAACCTTGAAAAGCTCTTGCTATGACAATGGTAGGTTACAGGCAAGTTAAAAAGTGCCTATACTTTATTGCCAATACGTCTTTTGTCGTTAAAGCCAAGCAGAAAACTTAATGGGAGATATACTGAAAAGAGCGTATAATGCATTCGTTTTAGCGAACCCCCCCAAAAAGACACATATAACGGGTAGGTGAAATGGGCACCTAAGTACTTATGGAATGTATGACTTCCATTGTGTGCTCTTTTCCATTATACAAATATTGTGAAGTATAGTGAAGTATAAATTGGCAACGTTTCCGTAATTTTTTTTTTAAATATATTTTTTCTGCATGATAGTCAACTTTACTCGACTAAATATGATTATTTTAAAGTTGGATCAAGCTTTTCTATTGTCGTGCTTAAGTTATTCACAGAAATTACAGATCTGCGTTAGAGCATCTTCTTTATTAAATTTTACGTATTGTGGGCCAAAATTGCGCAACTTGAGGGTCGATCAAGTCTTAGATTCACGTATTTGCCAAACGTTTGAGTGGCTCACGAGATACAAATTCGGCGAAATGATTTGTCGGTTACGTTCCAACGGCAGGTGGATGGATGGCATTTCGCAAGTTTGCAAGTTTCTAACTTTATACAAGACCACCTGTGCCCGTCCATGCCCCAAAAAAGCAATGATTGAATTGAGTATAAACCATTCAGAAAGATTTACGACGCTAGATAATATTTGGAGAGATAGCGGTGGATATTTAGGCAATGATTGTAGGAGAACACCCCAACGGTCGGCGGATACCTAGCAAACATTGCGTTCTCCTTGTCCTTTTGCGCAATTTGACGAGACGTGTGCAATATGTATTTGTGAATTTTTGGGAATCTACATAACAATCACTTTATAACTCGAAGTCGTATTTACTTAATCGTATTGGCGGTTTTCGATAGCCTACACTGTACAATCATTGACAGCATGCGAATGGAATCTTTTACGCATTTGTCCACAAGATGAGTTTGCGGTAACCATTAAAGTGTCACGCGAGGTCACATCCTCTGGCATGGCTATATCTTTGCGGATAATCATTAGCCTTTTTTGGCTTCTACCTTTGTCAGAGGCATGGTGGCGTCCTGACAAGGTATTTGATTTCCTAAAGAAGCAAACTCCACTTGTTTATTCAAGACCAGCCGCATCGACCACCTTTCGGTAAGAAAAATCAAATTAAAACTTAAGCGAATGAATTTCGAAGGGTGTATTGTTTGCATGAATAAGGTGTAATTACTCAACTTTCGATAATAAGCTACAAAATATTTGAAAAGATAGTCAACCAATATAAATACATGCCTTCAAATTTTATTAAAAACAGAGATTCCAAGAGTAAAAAACCTTTTCTAGATGAGAAAACAGAAAAGCCTAATTCCTATCCTTCCGAATCATATGAAAATGAAAGTGGATATAAGCCAGATGCCTTCAAACCTGGACATCAAAACCAGCAAAAATATCAAAATTCAAGTCCATTAGGATTTCAACGCCTCCTCCAAGAAACCGGCTCAACGGGCGCTACCGGCGCGACGGGTGACACGGGCGCTACGGGCGCTACCGGCGCGAC